CCTTCGGTTTCGCTTGACTGCTGCGGATCGCTGAGCCAGCTGGCTTCCAACGGTGTTATTGGCTAACTCTAATCAATTTAGAGATGAGTTATACATAAATGTATAACACATATCTATGTATTTTTAGGCATGTATACGTGTGTCGAAATGTTTACAAGTAGAAAAAGCTTTTGCATCATAAAATTCTTACGAATAATTTATTTGAATGAAATGAAATGAAACTTTTTTCTGTGTAAACATAAGGAACAAAAAGGGTTTATTTATTTAGTAGACATGTTTATATATTTGGTAAAGTTTATTCTGATGGTAGGATAGAAATAGATCTACTTATTTAAATGTAAAGTGAAGGAAATGTATTTTAAACATTGGTTAGTGGTGGCTTACATCCAACATGTTTCTACTTAATCTGACCTCATCAGCTGAGCTCACCTAATTACTGTAACTATAACATTCTATGAGTTCTCATTGTAAGTATTCAGTAACAAACTGTTCAGTCGCTTTTTGGAATATTAACTCCTCCAACGAGTGTTATTAGTATTGTCACAAACTGTAGGTCAGTCAGTCAGTGACAACGTAGAACTTCGTACGTACGTGCATCATATTAGCACAGAGATGCAATAGTCGATTCAAATCCCATAGTAGTAGGGGTAGTAGAAGTATTAGCAGTAATCGGAGAGATTGGGGTTGGACGATATTATTCAAGAAGTATAATTCAGTGAAATAAACTTAAAAAGAGAAAGATAAAGGTGATGAAGAATCCAGAAGATATAGGATTTGATAGAACACAAAGAATGAATACACCTGCACCATTGCAAACGGTTTTGAGCCTGTATATCTGTAATAAGGGTCACCTGTATGTCGTACTTTGTAGTACTTACTAAATAGATGTACTCATATCATAGTGTTTCGGTAGCCCATTATATTTGATAAAAAGAGACATCAGCATAGTATTTGTAGCACCTCACATATATATTTTGTACTTTTATCATTGTTGTGCTTGTATGCACATGAACGCTTGGGCATTTACTTACCACTTACACATATAGTTTATTTGACTAGCTTTATCGATTAACAGTTTAAATCATTCAATGGCAATGTCGACCTATACATATTTGAATTAAATCCGATATTTGTATCGATCATTATATATCTTGAATAATAAAGAAATCGTGGCAACGACTCGTGTTCTATTGTAGCGATCATCTAGACGCAGATATACAGAATCTCGAAGATAACGAACGCCCAACGTCACACATTTATTCGAAAAATCGATATGCTAAACACAAACTGACCACTTTGGTGATCAGTCTCAACAATTTGGAAACTAAAAACCTTATCTATCAGTAACCTCATACAAGCTCTCTACTCGAACACCACTGGTCGAGTGAGAGCTTATGGCAAACTGTCACCGGAATTCTTCACTTCAAGTGGTGTCCGTCAGGGATCTCCACTTTCTCCATTCTTGTTTGATTTTATCATAGACATGCTCCTAGAAATAACCTTATCCTCATCTGAATTCTCTGGAGTAGACCTTTTACCAGGTGGCTCGCTTATTGACTTGAAATATGCCGATGACATTGTCCTACTTGGTGAAGACGCTGACCAAATGCAGAGTCTTCTGACTACCCTAAGCAACAATGCAAGCATGTTCGGGATGCGGTTTTCCCCCTCGAAATGCAAAAGTTGCTTCGAGATTGGGTTGCATCGGTACATGAACTAGTGATAGGGAGTAAAGCAGTTGAGCGTGTTGAGCGCTTCACTTATCTGGGAGATCTCATCAGTGCTGATGGCCTGGTGACTGACGAAATCTCAGCTCGGATACAGAAGGCTCGATTGGCTTTTGCCAACTTGCGTCACTTATGGCGTAGACGAGATATCTGTTTGCTGACTAAAGCACGAGTGTGCTGCGCAGTGGTTCGCTCCGTCTTACTTTATGGCTCTGAAACATGGCCAGTGAGAGTAGAAGATATTCGTAGGTTACTTGTTTTCGAACATATGTGTCTCCGGAGCATTGCTCGTATATCGTGGGACACACGAGTGAGCAACGCTGTTATTAGGAATCGGGTGCTAGGCAAGAATGGCAGATCAATAGATGAAGTAATGAAACTTCATCAGTTGAGGTGGTTGGGACATGTGTTGCGTATACCTAACCACCGACTGCCTCGTCGAGCTTTGTTTTGTAGTGTAGGAATAGGTTGGAAGAAAGCTAGGGGCGGCCAAACCAAAACATGGCAGAAATCCATGAAGTCACTGACAAGTGGACTTAGCCATGTCGGTAATTGTCGACTACCTGGTTGGTGTCCGCGAGATGATAATAATCGATGGTTAGAGACCTTGAATGACATGGCTCAAAATCGTTCGCAATGGAGCAGGTGCATCTATTCTTTGTGTTCTCTTCTTCTTCTCTTCTTCTCTTCTTCTGTATTCTTCAACACCTTTAGTTTTGAATCATACTTCTTGAATAGTATCTTCTAATCCTAAGCTCTCCGATTACTTCTAATACCTTTACTACCTCTACTACTATTGGATTTGAATTGACAATTATAACTCTGTGCTGATGTGGTATGGCAACATGAACTGATGTACTTACGTACGAAGTTCTACGTTGCATCTGACTAACTGACTGACTATCTATCAATGAAGCGTCTCATCATCAGTGAACCTATGATGACTGCTATAGGAATACAGAATTTTGAACTCGAGTGCTTATCATCAGAGTATGTAGAACTTTTCTATAATATCGCGTAATTACCAGCTGTTCTCGATAAGATCTTTTAAAAATATAAAAGAACTCTTGTTAACTAACGTTAACTAATAAAGTTTAGAGTGTTTTATCGATTGAATCTGGTCACCTGATTAGTATAAAGTAAACATCTATTGTTCATTTGATATGCATCTAAATAAGTGACTTTTTGTTCATTCATAAACTTCAACAGCATTGGCATTTTATCGAGAACAAAAGTAAATATAATTGAACAGTAAGGAAGGTATATTATTCATTAAAAGGTTTATCCAAAAATTAGTTAACACTATCAGTAACCTAACTCCTCCAGTAGAACCTTCGGGGCTACTGCTGGTCCCAAGCCCGGGTAAAGGAGGAGGGTTGGACATGGGGGGTTGACGAACCCCATTCCGTCAAAAACTAACTTGCCAAAAAAACGCTAACCTATCAGTAACCTATATTACCTCCAGCATTTCTACAATTTTAAAAACATCAAGAATTCGAAACAACTATCAATCAACACCAAAGTCATAATTTTCAATACGAATGTCAAGTCAGTTCGACTGTATGGAGCGGAAACTTGGAGAACTACGAGAGCCAGCATTCAAGTGTTTATTGTCAGTTGTGTGCGCAAAATACTTCCGACCCGTTGACCAGATGCCATGAGCAACAACCTACCATGGGACAGAACAAACTAGATTTCAGAGGAGGAATCAATTATGAAGAAGCGCTGGAGTTGGTGGATAGGACAGACAAGTGGGAAAATCACGAGAAATTGTGGAAATCATCCAGGTGTGCGACAACAGGGTCGGAGGAGAGAAGAAAGTATGCCGAGAAGTGGAGACAGACATGAGAAGAATGAACGTCAGTATGATAGAACTGGAAAAGTAGGTCCAGGATAGAGTAGGCTGGAGAATGTTGGTTGGTGGCCTATACTCCACTGGGGTAACAGGAATAAGTAAGCAACTAAGCGATTACCTTCAGAAACTTTAAAAACCGATGATTACTAAACATAATGTTTTAGTTTGTGGTTGTAGTATGAAATATGTACTACTGATTTCCAACCTAATGTTCTGTTGTGAATTTCATCAACAGGAGACCTGAAAGTCATTAGTTTGGTCATTTATAAAGTTGTAGGTGTACATTGTTTAAAAGTATGAAAATAGAACATGATAACCATTTTACACCTAGTAATTGATTAAAATATATCAGCTAGTTAGTTTTAAAGCATCCTAAAACAACCTGGAACATGTATGTACTGGATCGTGCTCTCATACAGCACCAGAAAATCCCAGAAAATCTGGAAGAGGCAGCAGTGTCAACAGTCAAAGAAAAGATTATTTAATTAATTAAAAAAACGATTCCGACACTTAAGATCTAAGGGAGGATAAAACAGTGAATACACCTGAACTGAAATCATGCTGCCTAACGTCTCGAAACACGAATGACAAAAAACCACTTAGATCCTAAGCTCATATTGCGTCTAAAGCACTAGACTGCCGTTTCATCTGACTATGGGACTCATCAGAAGTGCGCACTCACGACTCCTGCTACTCGCAAGACCTTCAGTCTTCTGCTCAAACGCCTAACCACTGAGCCGGCATCTAGTGTTCTTAATGTCTCACTAATGAATAGCTTCGTGAGCAAATTCTCAGAGTTCCAGTGAGAAGACGTGAACAGTGGAGTTCAACCTTGTCGGATGTAGGCATTAACTACCGAATAAAAATGGGTGAGGTTGCGCAAAACCCTAGATTGACCAGAGTTAGACATTAACACCGTTGGATGCAGCCTCACTGGTTCGTTATCTTCCGAGTAGCGAATGACTTGGGTGAGCACTGTTTTTGAGTCTCATAGGTCAAACGAGACGGCCGCCCAGGACTTGTGGATTTCTAATAGTGGTCTAACAATGATTGATTGATGATTTCAATCTGTAATAGCACTGATCTCTATAACTCTATGATTAAAAAAATCATCTGAAAACAATCTGCATAGAATACCTTAATACCAAGCAAGATTGTTCGAGTTTTATTCAAAAACTAATAACACCAGGTTAATCCAAATTATTTCACATTGGTTCTACACTGGTTCAATTGAAATTAGAAAATTTACCTAAATTAAGTGATCAGTGTTTAAATTGTTTCAAATTTCATTAACTAAATCATCAGGAAAAAATTATATTGATAAATATTGAATATACATATATCTATATATTACTTAATTAACAATATACTACTCATTATTCAAATACGCGCGCGCGCGAAAATAGATAACAACTAACCTGTAATTTTGTTTGGATCATCCATTTCCGAATCCGATGTATGCGTTGTTTCAGTCATAATTTTTTTTTTGACTATTTTCCAATAAAAATGATCAAAATGACCAGAAATCAAAAAAAAAAGAAATCAGGAGTTAAAGAGATGATCTTCGAAATTTTCACGAAAATGTGATTCTATCTCTCTCTCTCTCTCTCTCTGTGTGTGGCTCTCTTTTCTGCCTCCAAATGAGTGAGTATGTGTGCTTGCCTCTTGATAAAAAAAAATTAATGTTAAAGAGGTGGTTTTCAATGCTGTTTGTTTTGTTCAGTTCTGTGTTGATTCAGTGAACAATGAACAGAATATAATTCTTGAAATATACAAACGAAAAAAATCGAAATGCACACACACTGATCCTCCGATCAGATTATTATTAATATTATTAATTTGAAAATGTATTGGAAAATGCAGTTGGACGAACGATTAGGATTGTACACCTTCATATATATATATATACATATTTATTTATTTAGAGAGTGTGAGAGTGTGAGAGTTATGTCATGTGCAGTGATCAACACTAGGATGATACATGCGTTCTATCTAGATCAATCAGTGAATTCCAAGTCATGATTTTCGGGGTTTTTTTTCTAAAATTTTATTTGATTTCGATACAATCGTTAGTTAGTTAGTTAGTTAGTTAGGTAGGTAGTTAGATAGATAGACAGATAGATGGACAATGTCAAATGGAATCATCAGTGTAGTTGTTGGTGCTGTATGCACATTGTAAACAGTTAGCTGTAACATACACCCACATACACACACACGCACACTAGAAAAGTAGGTGAACCAATGTAAACAGACCAATCAACCAACCAACCAATCAATCATATTGCACAGTTGTGCAAAAAACACATTTCAATTTGATTGGTTAGTTGGTTGGTTGGTTGGTTGACTATAGTGCAAAAGAATTTCGTTTCATGTCAATATCTCTTTCGTTTGTGTCAATTTGTGTTTCAATGTGCTACTAAGACTATTAGTGTGTAGGTTGGAATGTATTTCACGAATTGACAAAATGTACACTGCCGCGGTTTTTGTTTGAGTTGATTCGAAGTTAACTCATTCAAGATTTTATTCATTTATTCTCATTGTACAGTGTAAGTATGACTCAAGTTTCTAAAAGGTAGACTTGTGTGGAATACTCAGTCCACAAACCGCCTCGAAACACTGACACATAAATAGATTGACACAAGGCTAAAGTGATCAGATTAAAACGTGATACATGTCAATGGTATTCAATTTCAAAAGGTATAGTGTTTCAACCAACATCAACTAAGTCAATACTTGGAGAACTGTTATGCGTTATTTTTTGGAACTCTGTGTCTAAGTTTTTATATGGTTATTCGTACTACTAAAATATGATTTTGACTGTTTTCGGCTTTTGTGCTTATATGAAGTCCAACAATCATAGAGCTTCTGAGAAGAGGAGTAGCGGTGACGTTTGTAAAAATATCATTACAAAAACTAGCGAATTTGATTATACCAATGAGTTACTTCCACTATTGTTATCAGATAATATGTACTACTCATTTAAACTGGTAGTAGTATCTAATGTCGTTCGACATTTTTCTCGGGTTTATTTCAGTTCTCTGGAATGAGCTTTGAGGCACAACCTAATCAAATTGATATGAATTATGTCCGTCCATTGTAATCACGTGATAAAATCACCAATCAGATTAACAATCTCTACAAACTTGACCATGAGTTAACCAATGACATATCAACCAGCACTAGTGTAACGTAACAAAAAGTCAAGACCTGAAGTACACTATAATTACGCTATACATTTCGAACTTCTGACATTCTTCTGTCTGTTTGCAACTTCTAAGAGGCGCTCCATTTCAAACTAATTATATGCCACCTTGTGAGTAGCATCTGCTACATTAGAGTCCTTGTGTCGCTGCTAAGTTCTAACTAGTCCTTTCTCTTAAGGAGGTTAGATCCCAAGAACTCGCTTGATAAATGCCTTATTTTGGATTTCACGTTTGCAAGTACGGGCTGATCAGTTGACCTTGAGATTTCGATTCCCACAAGGAAAATCCATGGTTGTGATTGGTTGCTGACCAAAGGACGTTTCTATGATGTATAAATAAACTCTAGTTGTGTGCTTGATTGTTCAATGATTGCTGGGTGTTTGTAGAATATACTTACTACGCTTATCAAGACTTCTGTTTTACAGCTTGAGATTCAAGATAGCCTATCTGAACACTAGTAATTGTCTCGTTCGCGTTTATCGACTAAGTTGAACTCGTAATAGCTTCAAGCGTACGTTGTGACGAATATAACACTTTTATCGGTAGATTTCCACTCTACCCTGCCCGTCAAATTATACGAACTATACAAAATACTAAGGATCCATTGGCCAGACACCATCAGCAACATCGTACTGTGGGAGATAGCAAACCAGATTTGAGTAGACAAAGAAATCAGGAAGAAGAGTTGGAGTTGGATAGAAAACATAGTGTGGAAATCACCTAACTATATGATGAGACAAGCCGTCATTTGAAATCCTCATTGACAGAGGAGAGGGAGAAGACTACGGAACACATTATGCCGAGAATCGGAGACAGATATGAGAAGAATAAACACCGATTAGATAGAACTTGAAAAGACGGCGCAGGATAGGATAGCTTAGAGAATGCTTGTGTAAGTAAGTAAGTAAGTAAGTAAGTAAGTAAGTAAGTAAGTAAGTAAGTAAGTAAGTAAGTAAGTAAGTAAGTAAGTAAGTAAGTAAGTAAGTAAGTAAGTAAGTAAGTAAGTAAGTAAGTAAGTAAGTGAGTGAGTGAGTGAGTGAGTGAGTGAGTAAGTCAGTAAGTAAATCATAGATTTTTTTCGCTGATTTAGATATTTCGTTGTCGTCACTCTTCATTCCGTTCACCTTAATTTATATTTACTGTGTTTGAATGGTGTTTTTTCATTTGGATCGTGCTGTCTTTACTTTTTAAATCATAACAGGTGTTGTAGGTTTTAATTACTGCAAAAAAAACCAGTCACATGTCTTCTTAGTTGCGCTTTGATTTTTCAATCACCTATACAGAGAGATTCCAGCGTTAGTATACAAAGAAGTTAAGACAAGGTGGTTTATATACGTGGATATCTGAAGAAGACGAAGTTTATTTATTTACTAAATATATGTACAAGCAGTTATTAATTTTACAATCCAAACAGGTTATTGATTGTCTTCTCTGATTAGGCGTTCGCGCACAATACCGAAGGTCCCGGGTTCGAATCCTGCGAGGTGCAGTAGACGTGGATGCGCACTGCCACTGATGAGTCCCATACCAGGACGAAACCGCCGTCTTTCAGTGCTTCCAGGTTTCTAATGGTGGTCTAACAATGATTGATTGATGATTTCAGTGTAAAAACACAAAACCTCCAAAACTCTAACTGAAAATTCCTGTTTTCGTTTTCAAGTAGCCTAATCACGTTGTGCGTTTCCATCGCCTTAGATTGTGCTATCTGGTAGCAACATCTAGACGACGATCCAACACATACTACTTATTTGCCACCTTTTAAGTAGGTATCCATCACACCACTGTTTCTAAACAATAATTAAGGCCTTGTAAAATATTCAGAGTGATAAGAGTATTTAACATTTTTATGTTTGTATACTGTACGAAGGTACTAAATATTCCCATAAAGTAGCAAGTAAGAGATATTAAAAAAAGCAATTGATCTGGGGAATTTATCATGAAACATGAGTAAGCTAACGAATGATATTTTGTGCAAGGATTAGATTGTAACTTTCAGATCAGTTGGAGAAAACTTTACAATTTTATCAGCATCTAAATTCACAAAGTTTCCATCATCCGTAAAACATGCGCCTAAGCTTAGGTTCAATTATAGACCTGGATTCTAGGCTTTCATAACCAAATCTCCTCAAATTGATATGCTATTTTTGTGGACCGATTCAAAGAAAGGCTAAATAATATTATCCCTTGATTGAAATAATGCTGTCTTTTGAAGATTCCCAAAGGATTTTTATTCTTTATTTACATATAATCGGTTACTGACATCACGAAAGAGAACCAGTGTTAGAACATCACTGGAAACTTGGAATAGCACTCCTCAGTGGTGTGCATTCATGACCCTTCATGTGGCCATGGTGTTAGGGATGTTAGATCCCCAGAACTCGCTTGATAAATATTTTTATTTTGGATTTATTTCATGGACTGATCAGTTGACCTTGAGATCACATTTCCCACATGTTAGGATATTCATCCAATATCCTAAGAGAATTATTGGTCTATTCCTACTGGTCAATTTTATGGTCGTCCCAGATATCAATGTCACGTACTTCAATGTTGTTGCTTATTGGTTGTCCTGACTATCATTGTCACTTCAGATGTTGCTTCCTATTGGTCGTCTTAACTGTCAATGTCACAGACTTCGATGCAGTTTCCTATTCGACCAAAATGTATACTCATTATCTGTAACATTCTAGGACCAGGAGCCGGATGCCTGATCCTGGATGCTGATTCTCTTCAGGACTCGAACCTCGTACTTTCTAGATGTTTGTAGAATACAGGTTCTACTTCATATCAAGTCTTCTTTCATTCATTGGAGGTTTAGGACAATCGGATTAGAGTAGTATGTCGTGTCGCCGGATCCTCTACCCTCGCTCTCGTTTTCCTATTAGGTAAACTCGTAATAGTTCAAGTATATCAAGATGCCGTGTTTACGTGCAGGCCTAACACCACCAGAAAAATCCTTGGCTGTGATTGGTTACTGTGTCATTTTTTGTGTGTCATTTTTGTGACTGTATAAATAAACACGATTTGAGTGCTTGATTGCATTGTGTGCTGTCTGGGTGTTTGTAGAACACACTATCTACGCTATATCAAGACTTCTTGCTAGTACAATTGGGACAATCGGATCAAAGTAGCCTACCTAGATGCTGGTTCATGGTTTTGTTCTCGTAATTCGACTAAGGTGAACCAGTAGTAGTTTAAGCATACCGAGAGACAAGCATAACATATGGTCTAGAGCTTCGAAGTTTCTATAGGTGTTATAACCTTGACTGATTCATGATTTTAATTTTCTATTGCTATGATATATGACTGTCTTACACTGAACAGTGTTTAGTTACCTTGATCAAGGCTTCTCATTCTTTCGAAGCTAATCACTCCTGATCTCAATAAAATTATCAGTATATGACTGTGGAGGTTGGTGAGTTTTATTGATATCAAGAAGTGATCAATGTTACACCATGATTGAGAACTTCAAAGCACTGATGAGTACCACATTAGGATAAAACGGTCTTGTAGTGTTTCCAGGGTTTCAAAGATAGTTTGTCATTAATTCGTTCTCAATTTCAATCAAATACAATCATATCCACAATCTTATAATGATAGTGTTCACGAAAACTGATGACTAAGGTCATTTATCAGGAATAAAATAGGACCAAATCATTTTTAAAATCAATGTAAAATTCTCTATGTATCAATTCAAACGTGTACTGGGATGAGGAATAAAATATTGATGTCAAACAAGTGAAAATTTCAAGTGG